CGATGGAAACGCGAACGGACAGATTCGCGACAGCGGCCCGCTGAACCGCCCGGCCGAACATTTCAAGCGAGCGGCGCCACGCTCGACGCAGACATGGCGCCGAGCGCGACGGCTTGCGCGAAGTCGAAGGCCGCTCCGCGCGCGCAAGCGGGAGCGGGCGTTCCTCGGGGTCGCGATGCGACGCGGCCGCCAAGCCGCCGTTCACGCAGCGGTGGCGCGCCCCGACGGATTCCCCAACTGGTTCCCCGAAGGCGCATCCTACGCCGCGCGGGCTCCGCGCCCTCCCGGTGCAGGGCTCACCTGGTTCCAGGCGTGATGCGCGACGCCCGCCCTTTCCAGCTGGGGCGCCTCCAAGCTCGCATGCCGCCCCGAGTCGGCCTGCCTGCTTCCTCCACATCCTCGTCGCCTTGGGGGCGGAAGGGGGGCGAGGCTGTCGGGCCGGCGACAAGGGCATGTTGGCGCTGGCGCGCTCAGACTATTGCTCGCCATAATTCCATATCCTCGCGGCTGCCATGACGGCCGCCGCGGCGCCTGCGCGCTGCGGCATCTGCGCCGCAGGGCGCCAGGGGCCGTTCCGATCAAGCCGAAGGAAGGGGCGATCGCGAGCAGGGGAGGGGCGAATCGGTCGGCGAAAAGCTCAGGGCCTAAAGGGGTCCACGTTTGGGGGGGGGAGCACGAGTGCGACGGTGGCGACGCGATCAGGCAGGCTCGAGGCCGAGGAATTACGGTCACCAGAGGCAGAAGAAACCGCCGTCAGGGCCGGCGGCCCGAGCCGGGCTGTTTGTTGGTGGGGCTGGTGAGCTCTGGCCGTATCGCGTTCGCCCCCCAGATGGACTTGTCCCTGCCGTGCGCTTCCCGCGGCTGGAAATCCACGAACATGTTTTGGTTCCTTGGCTCGGAGCAGGAGGCCGTTGACGCATGCTAGCAGAGCCCGACGCTGCAATCGCACATCGCGAATGCGCCCATGCGCTTCGCTCGGCCGAGTTCAAAGGGACTGCGGACCTCTGCCGCCAACGGGAGTGCTATCACGAGCGCCTTTTCTGACAGATTCTCAGCTCACGCAGGTGTTCGGCCCGAAGATAGAAGCTGACGCCAAGAAGAAGCTGGCAGAGGTCATCGTCGGCGGGGTGGACGAGCATGGGAAATACAAGCAACACTACAATTTCATCGACGACGTTTGCGACAAGAGGACAGCGGGCTTCAGTCGTGTACGCGTGACCTGGAAATTATCAACTGAACAGTCACGTAAGCTGATGGCCCTCGATGAGCAAACCGTCGTGGGCCAGTCGGGCGCACTCTTCGATTGGGGCGACCGCGACGTCTCCGCCGTCTGCTCGGACAACATCGGGGCGGGCGTTCCCCTGGCGAGCGCAGCGATGGCGGCGACGAGACTCGCGAAGGCAAAGAGAGGAAAGGAGCATGAAGATAACGACGATGATGATAAAAAGATCGGCGCGCCTACCGCGAACCCGCTCGTCGGCCAAAGCGCGCGATGCCGGATGATTCGCCCCGTCCTGCGTGGGGTGATCGCTGCATGAGTGGGCGCTTCAACCTTGCGTCGACGCTGGGGCCAGATGCGATGGTGCCTATGTCCCCCGTCAAGGACGACCCGCAGTCAAAGCGCTGCCGGCCAGTGCCGGTGATGCGCCCCCTGGGGCATCGCCGAACGCAGGTTCACTATTGACGGAAGCTGCGCTTGCGTCGATGTCGGGATATCCTTCTTCGGCGGGTTCGGCGAGCCTCAGGAGGTCGCTGTCGTTGGACCAGGCATCGAACGCTGGGAAGTCCGATGGCGGCAGCTCGGCAGGCGACGGCGAAGACGCGGACCGCAGTGCCTGCCCAAAGGACGTACCTGGGAAGGCCGACTGCTGGATCGCCAAGAACAACCTTCTCAACCACCTGAACGACAGCAAACTCAAAAACAACGCTAAGGAAGCGAACAACATTTTGGAACGCACCAGGACAAGGAAGGAGACCACAGAGGATTGGATGAGCGCTATGTGAGAGCAGGAGGCGCGCTGAGAGCGAGTGGAGGACGAGGAGGAGAGGAAGGGGAGAAGGAGGGCCGCCATCGTCATCGTGGTCCGCCGTCGCCGTCGCACTTGTCGCCGCCGTGGCACGCCGTTGCCGCCGCGCTCGCCGCCGCCAACGCAAATGCCCGTGGCATTGTGTCTGGACCCCCATTCCCGCATCATCTACAGGCTTTTGCCAATTCCGCCTGCGCCCCAGCTGCATTCACCTCTCGCATGGCCCTGGGTTCCTCAATGCCTCGGCCCGCGGTCAATTTGATAATGTCTAGGTGGGGTCGCTGCCCTCTGTTGGTGGCAGCGCTCGTGCTCGAGAACCGTCGAGATTGGTGCTGCTTCGGACGATTTGGACATGTCGGGTCGCGCTGTCGTCGTCTCGTTCAGCGCATCTGCGTCGCTTTTCGATGACCGTTGCTCTGGTAACACCGATCGATGTTTTTTCCGTGGCTTGAGGGCGTTAAGAATATTGCAAAAACAATGGTTCAATATAACAAGCCACGAGCGGTCCCAGGAGCAAAAAACAGTACTTCAACAAGCCAGTGGCGCGAGCTCCAAAAAAGTGGTTTCGATTTATTCTGCTGGGAGCCCCTGTAGGGGGGCAGGCGGATTACAGGACGAGGAGGGGGAGGAGGAGGAGGGGGAGGAGGAGGAGGAGGAGGAGGAGGAGGAGGGGGAGGAGGAGGAGGAAGAGAAGGAAGAGGAGGAGGATGACGAGGAGGACACGACGCTGGCTGGGAGCGGCCGCGCAGTCGAGATCGCGCGAGGGCCGCCACCACAGAGAGAGGCAGACGCAAGCGCCGCCCCACGCCGTGCAGGGAGGCAGTCCCCCCACCCGCGGGATCACGGGGGCCAGCCGCAGGCGAAGCTATGGAGAAGGAGGAGGAAGACGACGGGGAAGTATGAAGTATGAGGAGGAGGACGACGACGACGACGATGCGGCACCAGGCAGGAAGTGTGAGCACCACGGGGAGCACACCGACGGGTGCTCCTCCCTCGCGGGCAAGCGCCTAGCCACCAGAAAAACCTGCAGGGGCCCAAAGTCGAGGCCGCGGCCCGGGGATCCTCCACCCATCGGGGCGGCCGTCGTCGGGAGGAGGAGGAGAAGGAGGAGGAGGAGGAGGAGGAGGAGGAGGAGGAGGAGGCGGCGGCTGGGGGTCTGAGTCGACTGCACGCAAGACCCACACCCCCTCGCGCTGTGAGAAAAACGACGGGAGGTTTCTAGCTATTTTCGGCCTGCAAGGGCTCTTGCCGGGCCTCGGGGCCGTCAACATGATGAAAAGCCACTTCCAGGGGAAAGGGTCCAGGCCTCTGTTGAGCAGGGGCCGACCGTCCCAACATTCCTATAGGCCTACCACGACATGTTCCTCGAAGCCAGAACTGTTCCAATAACAAAAACAATGCTCTTAGAACACATGCCGGATGTCTTAAAACAAGACAGTCTCAGCCAGAAATGTTCTAAGACCATTCCGTGGAAACCATAACATATTCGTATAACATTGTTTAGTAGGCCTCTAAGCGATCCAGGACGCTTCGCCACTGCTTGACTCTGGGGGTCGTTGTTGTGGAAAGATCACGACGTCGGGGGTCTGGGCACGCAGCGGGCGTCTTCAGACGAAGCCAAGACGAGGATCACATCGAGTGAAGTCTGATCGAGAATCTCTGAGATCCGGCGGCTCTGGAGGACGTCTCGGGCGCCGCGGCATTTTCAGAGCGCTCCGGAACGCTCTGAGAGCGTTCCGAAACTCTCTGGAACTCAAGGCCTTCTCAGAAGACTCCAAATCCCCCGGCCTTCTGAGAAGTTGTTTAAAACTCCCCCGAAGATGCAACACAAACTTCTCAGAAGGCAGCAGGGCGTCTGAGAAGCCCCGCCGCCTTCTAAGAATGGCAATGGCTTCTCCTTCTCCTTCTCGCTTCCCCCCCCTCCCTCGCCGCCGACTCACGCAGCAGGCGCCTGTACACCGCCGTGGTGCACGGCCAGTGCCATGCTGGGCCCCAGCGCCCACGCCTCCGACGAGGGCAGCCTCTTCGGCTGGGCGTTCTGCCCCGAGCCCGGCCGCTGGGAGACCCGCTCTCGGGGCCCGTGGGCCATCCGAAGTGGCCCTGGGCCGAAGACCGATCCCTGGGGCACAAGGTCGGGAGTTCTGAGGCCGCGTGCAGTCGGGGCGTTGACCTAAGGAACCCTAAATAAGGAACGAGGCCCCTTTTTCCATAAGTTGAACTTCGATTTCCCATCGAAAACAAAAGGAAAACCCGAGGCAAGCTGTGAAACACGTAAGGAACGCGGAGCCCCTCCCCAACGAAAAGGGTTCCTTCTTCAGGGCCCCGACTGTATGGAAGAAACACATCGCGAGATGTCTGGGCATAGTGCATGCGCCCGTCCTGGCAGAGGCCAAGAGTCGGGGGCCCCCAAACGGTGTGGCAACCACTCCCCGTGCGCGATCTTGGGACTCAGGTCGTTCCCTCAGGACGCCTCAGGTGACCGGGGCCTCCGAGGTCTCAGCACCGTGCGGCGACAGCGGTCCGACACCACACGGCTTTTGGGACCCCCGAGAAAGGGTCTGCACACCACCCCGGGGCCAGGATTAGGTCGGGCCTGTCCCCCTGCAGGGGGCTTCTGGGCGAACAGTTGCAAACACTCGAAACAAGTCCCCAAATGCTCAAAACTATCGGACAAAAACCGCCCCAGGCTACTCCAGATTTCGTAATAAAAGGGAGGGGGTATGGACCCTCCAAGACAAGCCATTTCAGACCTCCCCCGTGGGAAAACCCTCCAAAACGTCGTCCCCAGACCCCCCAGGCCCTCCAAGATAGCCTGGGAGAGACCCCCCCCGAAATGAGACCCCCCTCCCTTTATTACGAAATCTGGAGCATTTTTTGACTGCTTTTGAATCCTCCCCCTGTAGAGTGACAGGCCCGACGTCAGGCCAGCATGGCCCTGGCCGAGCCAGACGGCGCACGGACGCCTCCCGCGGCTTCCTCGACGAGGCCCAGCAGCTCCGCCTGGCGAGCGTCCGCCATGCTCTGCGCGATGGGGGCTCGGCGCGTGCCCTTGGTGCCGAAGGGCTGAGGTGGCAGACGGGTGGCTCTCGGTGGGGTCTCGTGTCGCCGATCCCCGTCTCCAGCGGCGTGGCCGGGGCCCCGCCGGCCGGTTTGCCCCCCTGGGTGGGGGTAGAGGCGGCTCCCTCCGGGCTTCGACTGGTGCCTCCTCGACTGGGGTGGCAATTTGCTGGGGGTCTCGAAGGGGATGGGGGATGGGGATGGGGATGGGTTACACGATACCGATTCTGGGCCACCCAGGTGGAGTCGAGGCAGGTGGGGTGGGTGGCAGTATGGCGCCGCGTCGCTGATGCATCGGCGATGCGGCGCAATGTGGAGCCAGATGCTCTCCACGCCGACGGCGCCGATGCATCGCGCCGCATCGCCGATGCATCGCCGATGCATCGCCGATGCGGCGCGACCCTCCGATCCCATCTACTCAGACCCCATCTGGGAGGCCTCTATGACAGTTCAGCCAGAACCCGTATTGAACCAATCGGCTGCGGGATGATTTCCGATGGCTTCGGGATGTCCCCCTGGGAGAAAGCTGACCGGGCAAGAACGGGGAGCGCCAATCTGTCCACTGAGTTCGCGAAGCATCGTCTGGACGGCACCGTCGAATACGGCAACAAAAAGTAAGCACGGCAGACCTGCACGGCAGTCTATTGTGCGTGTACTGTGCTGCAGGAGTGCGCTCAATAATGGTTTCCTTGCTGCGCTAAGCTTTAAGACGAGCTTCTCTCGTCTTGCCCCGCGATGAGCACTTGCTTCGACTCCTGTCGAGCTCTACACCCACACGGTCTAGAGAAAGAATGCGCTCAGGTTCGCACGTGCATGATGTGTATATATGTATCTAGTCATATATAGATATACACCTTCAAACACCTCCCTCTCTCTATGTAGATATATGTATAGCACGTTGCGTGTCGTCTACTGTGTATTGGGGCCCTCATGGAGGACCTTAGGGCCCCTTTGGGCCGTCGGCGCACAGGAAAAAACAGAATTGACCCTTTCGGGCTGTTGGGGCTGTCCTTTACGCTTTCTTGCACTGTCTGAAAGCTGTCTTGGGGCCCTTTGGGACCAGTTACTGGGTTTCTTCGGAAGACCAAAGAGGAGGAGAGGGGAGGAGAGGGGAGGAGGAGGAGGAGGAGGAGGAGGAGGAGGAGGAGGAGGAGGAGGAGGAGAAGGAGGAGCAGGAGGAGGAGGAGGAGCAGGAGGAGGAGGAGCAGGAGGAGCAGGAGGAGGATGAGAAGGAGGAGAAGGAGGAGGAGGAGGAGAAGGAGGAGGGAGGAGGAGGCAGGAGGCAGGAGGGAGGAGGAGGAGGAGGAAAGCCCAAGAGAGGCCCCCCCCCAGACTGCCCAACGACTCCCGACCCTCTTTTCTCTTGGTGCGAGCGGGGCAGCCTTCTGAGACGGCCTGCCCCCCCCCCCTCGCATTAGGTCACGCCTGTCCCCCTGCAGGGGGATTTTGGACGATAGATGAAACATACTCAAACAATGCTCAAAAGATGCCCCAACATACTCAAAAAATAGCCCCAGACTATTTTTGATTATTTTTGGATACTCCCCCTGTAGAGGGACAGGCCCGACTTAACCCTCGCACTTCCCCCCCTTGGGCGCGCCGCCGATCGACGCCGCGAGGGAGCGTTCCGCCCCCGAACGGCCGGCGCCGCACCGACGGCCAGGTCGTGCAAGACAGCAGGAGCTCGACCACGAGAGACCCTCCACAGGAAGCCCAAACCTTTTTTTGATGCATGTTGCTCCCATTGTACTTCAGGCCCACATCCCAGAACTAATTTCGAGCACCCGGAAAAGTGTCGAAAGAGTGTCGAAACGGTGTCGAAAGAGTGTCGGACGAGTGTCTCCCAGGGCCCGTTGCGTGAAAACCTTGGAATGTGTGGGGTACTTTTCTGGTGCTCGAAATTCTTTCTAGTGATCAAGGCTAGAGTAAGTTGGAACATGATAATTTCGATAAGAACCATCGCACAAGTGATTCCGATGATCCGACCATGCGCTTGGAGCCTGAATCAAACTATGCTCTTGTAACCGACGGGAGCAGCGTCGACCCTGAAGCGAATATAGGTCGAGCCGATTCTGAAAAGATTCTGGACCACATAGGCCCGCGGCGGGGCCGCCGCCTAGGGGGTTGCCACCGCGGGGCTCGTCGGCACGACACGAGCCTGCAGCACTTCCTGCCTGAAGCAGGTGGGGGCAGCAGAGCGACTCGCCGGAGGCGTCTTCGAGAAAGAACAAAACTACTATTTGGGCCGCCCTCGTGCATGTAACAGGGGGGCAGCAGAGTGACTTGCCGGAGGCGTCTTCGGCAAAGAACCGAATTCTGTGTTGGTCGCGGACGCGACGAACGCGCGAGTCGGTCGTGGCAGCCGCTGGGACACTGCGAATCGAATGGTGCACGAGGAAACCCGATCGCGGGGAGAGGAGCAACCGCGGACGCAGAGAAAGGGCTTCGATCAAACACACGATAGAAGGTACAGGTGCTCAGCGGATGCACGGCGGTCGGAAGAAGTAGGTACACAAATGAAGTAGGAAGGCGGATCAGGTGGATTGGATAACCGAGCACATCAACCCATGCCGGCTCTTAAAGCAGGAAGGCACCTGAAGTAGATTGGGATCTGGGAATTTGGTAATGCCTACCTCCAGCGACCAGCGCGTATGGCTCGCTCCCCCGCCTTCGCGGGTCTGCGGTTCCACACCCGCCGGAGTCGGCCACGGGACGTCGAGAACGGAGCAGGCCCCCAGCTCGCCCCCCACGGGGCCGCGCGCGGGGCTGGAGGACGCACGTCGGCGAGCTGGCTGCGCAGTGAGGAGGCAGGGGGACGCGTAGAGGCAGAGGGCATCCAGAAACGTGGGGGCGCAGGAGTCTGCCATCGGGCACCGACTGAGGGCAACTGAGGTCGAGGCGTGGACCCACGGAACCCAAACTAAGGAAAGAGGCCCCTTTTTCAATAAGTAACCTAAGGAGACCCAAGGAACCCTAAATAAGGAGACCCAAGGAACCCAATATAAGGAGACCCAAGGAACCCTTTATAACGAGACCCAAGGAACCCTAAATAAGGAACACCGAGCCCCTCCCCCAACGAAAAGGGTTCCTTCTTCAGCGCCCCGACTGTATGCTCAACGAAGCTGACCAGCCGCCGCGACTGGGCAGAGTGGCACAACTCCCAAGTGGAGAGAGCAGCAGAACTCAGCTCAGGGGCGCGGGGCGGAGGGGAAAGGATCCGCCATGAGCCAAGGGGGGGGGTCATGAGGAGAAAGAGTTCTTGATAGCCCGCTTGGCGTCGCTCGGACGTGTGCATTTTTCTCGACCAAGATCATCGAGGAGAATGTTGAGTCGTCTTGCGATCAAACACACACACGGAGCCGAAAAATGGGGATGGACGTCCGAGCGATGGCCAGCCCAGGGCTTCCCGTAACTGGGCTCTTCATCACGAATCGTATTTCTGACGGTCCCCAGGCGCGGCCAGGGCCCCAAGAGGGCAGACACACCAGTCAAAACTCAGAAGCCGTTCCTCTCAGGACATCTTTGGCCCACTTGGAGGGGGGGGAGGGGAGGGGGGTGAAGGGAAAGGCAAAAAGGCCGCGGGGCAGCGGGCTGGCGTCTGGAGGGGGGGGGCAGGTGGGAGCGCGGGCGCGCCTGCGCAAGGGTGGCAACGCCGGTGAGGACCTGCACCCGCCCGAGTGCGCATGAGAAGACGTGGACAAGGCCCCTCGGAACGCTTCATTGTGCCACCGCGGTTCGACTGGCATACGTCCACGTCTGCGCCATTATCCCCAGACTTCCGTCGTCGTGATTTTCTCGGTGCCGTCTTTTCCCCAACGATCTCGGCATCGAGGGGGGGAGGGAGCCGTTTACGGGCACCAAAAAAACACGATCCCGGATTAAACGAGGTTCCCAAGGAGTGATCGAAATGTCTGGGGGCCGTGAAAAGAAAAAACGGCGGCGCAAGAGGTCTGAGTCCACGTTCACATCCGCATCCTCCTCCTCATCCTCCTGTGCTCATCCGCCCCCTCCTCCCCCGTAGCCATTTTGGCTCAAGCCGTTTTGGCTCAAAAACCATTCTGGCCCAGGTTTCGGCTTGCAGCAGCGAGCCTCAAAACGGCTGTGCTGCTGCGGGCCACTGGCTTGCGGTATCGCTTTCGCCACCCACTCAGGTCGAGGGACTTCATTCATCAGCGCGCGGATGGATGAGCGCCACCAAGGCGAGGAATGCCCCTGGCGAGCGGGCCGTCCGTTCACGCGAGCCCCTGCGCGGAAACGCAGCTCGTGCGGCTGCGGCAGGAACGCGAACGTTTTCTCATTCGGCGTTTCGACATTGGGTGGGAAGGGGTGGGAGGGGCGGGTCTGGCTCCGAAGCTCTGCTTACTGCGACTATTTGCAACAGGCGTCCTACGGTGGAAACCCCACCTGCTCGAAACAGGCGCCAAAAACAGCCAAGATCTACTCCATGGGAGAGGTGGGGGAGGGGGTGCGATGACCCACGCCGATCCGCAAAACAATGAATAAGAAAACGATCACAAAAGACGACGACACCCTGGTGCAAACACTGCGGCGCGCCCTGGGCATCTTCTTCGCTTCGGGCCGCTCCTGCTCCCGGCAGTGTCCGGGCTGGTGCGCCCCCTGGAGGACATCCCAGAAGTTGCCACGGCTGAGTCGTGAACGGTGTCGACATGTAGGGGGCCTCCACTATTACCAAATGTTAAGTTCCGAGCTGCACCTCCATAGAAATAAAGAGCCATGCTGGTGAATCTGCGCTGCAGAACTCGCGATCCCAGATCTTCGGCGTTTTGGCAACGATCATGCCGATAAAGACTGCAGAGATGGAAGCGGTACGCTGCCACCCAAACTGGGATTCTTCACTTAGGACGCGTCCTCAATGATACGACACACAAGCTGCAAAGAAACGTCAATACCAGTGGTCGATGAGCCTTGCCATCGTATCGAATGATAAGCAGCCGCCCTCAATTAGCCACTTAGGGAGCCATATCAGATAGCAACCGCCATAACAAAAAAAACAACTTGAAAAGGCACGTGACCTGCCCTCGCACATCTGTTAACCAATACATTGTGACGCCGGCCCGACCCCTGCAGAAAGCACGCGCACCTATCACCGACAGGAGGCCGGAACTCCCTTGCGGGACGATTCCACGAGGGAGTGGACACGTAAGAGGCAAGCGCAATCGTCGCAGACAGCTGGCCGGAACTCCCTCTCGGGGCGCTCTCGTGCATCTAGGACGCGGGAGAGGCAAGCGCAGCCGTCGCCAACAGCTGGCCAAACTCCCCTGGGGGCGCTCTCCTGCATCCTGTGGGCACCATGCCACTCTGCAGGGTTGCCGGCGCATCGATCCGAAGGTACCCACCAGAAGCCCAACTCCTAGACAAAAAGGGTTGGCCTTCCCCCATCAGACGGCAAACGCCAGCGTCACCGACGCGTGGCCAGAACTCCCTCGCGGGGTGCTTCTGAAGCGAATGGGGGAGGGCCTGACTACGAAGTTGAAGTGGGCGAGGTAGCCCGTGCATCAACATGAAGTAGCCACCAGCAACCAAACAATACACGGATAATGATTTAAGTGCAGGGGAGAAGGCAAGATAGCCGCGCTTCCCATACACCAGGGGGCATTGACTGCATTGACTAAGGACTTCCCAAGCCCAGGGCATGATCATGTCCAGGGCTATACTCGGTAACGCAGGTGATGATGCTCATCAACTACTGGGGGCACTGGGCCAATATGAAGCTGCTGGCAAATGTCATCGCTGTCGTCTCGTAAAATTTGATACAAGTCATGTTCCCATTGGCGTCAATCTCGTGGAAGAAATGGCTCTTGGGCTTCTGTCTTGCGTTGTGCTCCTGTATGCGCGCTTTGACCATGGCGGGGGTGAGGCGCCTGACTCTGCCTGGCGCCTCCTTCATGCCGGCGCATGTCTCCCTCGTCCGTCGGTAGAAACAGCAATGCGACCGCTTTCTTCCGCGCGTGATGCACTTGATTCGCGGAGCTTTGACCATTCGATTGGTGCCAGGATGCGATGTCCGTGCTCCGCCGCCGTCCTGCTGCACGGGAATGTCTTTTGCTCTGCATGCAGCGCGTGGCCTTTCAAGCAATGGGGCGCAGCTGTCTCTTGCTGCGCCCGCGTCGTCACAGCCGCTGCAGCAGGGATCGGCGCGGCCCGGCTGTCTGGGGCCTCCACCTTCTGGGCGCGCCTGCCGCCAGAGCCAATCCCACCAGAATATTCGCTTCGCTGGGGGAGTCGCGCTCTGGTGGCCGCCAGGTCGGTTGAAGGGTCGATCCCCGCATCGGTGAAAAAGCCGCCGAGCAGACCAATCGTCGTCGTAGACGCAGTGGCCTCATGCGCCAGAAGCTTTGGCCTGCGCGCACAAAAAAAACAACCATTAGCCTCATCCCCAGTGATGCACATGACCGCGCTGCCTTGTATCCAGTTCGCGGTGCCAGTTCAGCGTTGCACACGACGGACATTCTCGTGGCCGCCGCGCTTACATACCCCGCCATTTTTTTCCACCGCGAGAGCGTCGTGGTCCTCGCTCGGGAGGCGCGGGAAGACGCCCGTCACCATCGCGACGTCACTCAAAGCGCCGTCCAAGCGACGCTCTGTGGACATAGCCGTGCGCAGTCGTAGCTCCACTCCAGTTTCGTGACGTGCCATGCTAGCGCCGGGGGCATCTGCTGCTGGCATTTCCACCCATCAGCCTTGATGCGGGCAGGTATCTCCGGGGCACATATCCAAGGAACCCCCCCCGCCCTTGTCGCATCTGGTACCGCGGGGCCCCACTCATGCCCAGGAGCGGCATCCTTCGGCGACCGCCCCAATGGGTTGGCTGTAGCTGGTGCATCGTCCGCTGCTTCCTGCTGCAGAGGTCCGGGCCGTTTGCCAGTGAGGCGTCGCTTCGCCGCGCCCGCGATAGGCGGGGTGCTCGACGTCCTTGCGCTATGAGACGACGGCGCAATGCTGACCTGCCGTGCGGCAGCACGGGCATGATCATGTACTGGCGCATCCTCCTCATTTTGACCCATTCCAAGGTGAGCCCGCGGGTCCTCCTCGTCTTGCTCCTCAAAGAAGAAGCCTCCATCCTCCTCCTCTTGTCGATCCTCTGCTTGCAAGTGAGCTTGGACCTGTTCGTGTCCTGAATATCGTGCATCTCGCCCCGTGGCCTTGGGCTTCGCCGCTCTCGAGTGCAGGAGCTTGGCTGCCGTCGCCTGCAGCAAGTTTCGCAATTGCTGGTCTCGCAGAGTTTGTGCACGGCCGCCGTCGGCGCCGCCCGCGCCCTCGCAGCCTCCGCTGCGCCTCTGCCTGCAGCGCGATTGTATTCCCAGAATGGAAGCTCCACTGGCGAGATTGCATCCTCCCTCTGATGCGCCTTTGCCTTCTGGGTAGCGAAATGCCCAACTCCTTTTGCCTTGGTGCCGTGCTCGATAGCCCGCCAGAAGTCCTGGTGGGTCTTCGGTTGGATCTTTGCTCTGAGAATGGCAACAGTGAGTCTCGCGCGGCGCGCCGAGCCCGTCAAATGCACCTGTGTGCACCGTGTCCAACTTGCCCAGCGTCGCGCAGCAGCGGCCTCCGCCCCAAGGGCAGCCGGCGCCGCTGAAGCCGGCGGCGCGCTGAAGTTCGCGGCGCGGCCAGGGGCGCAGTGCAGGGCGCGCCCGCTTCGGCGAGAGCGTCGATCACTAGCCTGTCCGGGACGTGCCCGGTCGCCGCTCGCCACCATGGCGCCTTTCTCGGCGCGTAGTTAGTCGTCGCCATCTCCGCGACGCAGTGGGGGCGGCAGCGGTGGATCTCCAGGATGTAGGCCAGCGCCTCATCGTGCTTAGGCCTGTCTAGCAACAGTCCGCAGTGCCTGGTAAACGACGGCGGCCCCAACAGAGACTCCAGCGAAAAAAATGAGAAGCTCTTTTTTTCGCCGCGAACAAGATGTGATGACCATCGTGGCATCATCCGGCAATCCAATCCAATCATCTTCGACTCCGTGCAACAACGTGGCACGCATGTCCGGGATGTTACCGGGTAGATGTGGGAACTATGATGCTCTCAATCCATCAAGAGAGGCGCAGTGCGCGGGCATCTGCCTGAGCTAGTCGCGCAGGGGCTGCGCGCCCAGGAGAGGCAGCTCGCGCTCCGCCCGCGCGATGTACTTCCCGTGCCTCTCTTGGAAGGCACTCCACTCGTATGACTTCGGATTGATGTACATGGATGTCCGTGCGTCGGCCCTGGAGGTGAGAATCGTTCCATCTGCTGCTTTGACCGCATGTAGTGTGGCATGTTGTCTTCTCTTATTCCGAGAGAAGAGTTCGCGCCCTCCTTCGCGCTTCAAGCTCTTGCGCAGGCGGTTTCTCCAGTCGCAGATGCGAGCCTTCGTCCTGTTGGTCGATTGCTCATCCTGCTTGGGTTGCACCTGCTCTTCCCGTCTCTGCAAGCCTGCATCCTCAAATCTGGTCTGGGTGGTCTTCTCCGCTAGGAGCTGAGGTGCTCCGCGCACCTGAAGTCGCACTGTTTCGCATAGCCACTGCCGCCTAAGATGCTCGGCCAGGTTTTTGAATCTCTTGCTACGGGAAAGCGCAGCTCAACGAATCGCCCATAGATGTTATCCAGCTTGCGGGAGCCTTTCGCTGTCAGACAATCGGGCGCCTTCTTGCGCACATCCGCTGCGGCAGCCT